AGAACATACTGGGTATTCAAAAGTTCGGTCACTTGCGCATCAACGAGACCAATAGCCTGGTCAATTGAATCTATGACAACGCTCTTCTCCGACAAGAAGTCGCTCAAGTTGCCATCCAAGTAGTAGTTGATATTGTGTTCGGTCCATATAAAATGCGCCCCAACAGATTTCAAACCCAGCTTGGACCAAAAGGGCACTAGACAACGCCTCAGTACAGGACCGTCGTCGTTCTTCTTTGGATACTGAACAGACGTTGCAAGTAATCGGAACCGCGCCAGCCGTCCAAAGTTGGCTTTGACGTCGTCGTGCGTGAACCCATCCAGGCACAATTCAACCGCTATGCCAAGCAAATGGTCAACTTTTTTTTACTTCCAACACGTTCTCTCGCCGGTATTGCTTGCCCTTTGCATCAAGGTACAGCATGGAGAATCCTTCCTTTTTCAGCTTCCGAAACAAGACGACGCGTTTCTGTTGACGCAACGTCATGAAGAACGCAAACAACACGACCATCATGCTCTCCCCAACACCAGGTGTCCCCACAAACACAGTGCTGAGCTGCTTTTCCATACGGTCGTTGAATATCTTGATGATGCCCTGCTTTTCCTTCCGAACATAGAACCAAGCGGGAAAATCCGGCTCGACGTGGCGAATGTCGAGTGCGATGCCACCAATTTGCCACATGTCGATATCCAAGGTGGCTGCAATTGAATTCATCCTCTCAACCTCGATGACAGTCAATGATCTGGCCTTCTTGCGTGCCCGTTGCTCATCCCATTGCTCCTGATCAACTTCCGGAACCATCACCAACACGTGGATTTCCCCTTCGTTTGGCTCAAAGCTGTCTCCAAAGTTCTTCGGGTTCTTGATCCACAACAACGGATCCATGTGCGTAAAGCCTTCCGGGTGTCCATGTTCATCGAGCGTCACAGCTTCCGCGCCGCTTCTATCGAGCCAGTTGTCGTCGCCCTTCCTGGCGAGGAACAGCTGCAGCTTGCTCGCAGCGAAGTAATACTTCTGATTCTCCGCGATCTTGTCTTTCAAGTCTCCCACGACTCGCTCGCATCGATCGTCACGGGGAACGCGTTTCCCTTCACTCCAACGAGCGCACAGAACAGGTTCACCATGCTTCCAATTCCTTTCTGTGAGCGAGGACGTTCTCTCTCATATTTCAGCCACTCAAATGGTGCGATCCACTGTTGGGTTTTTGACTTCACTCATCTGGGTGATTGAACAACTGTAGATATAAAATATATTTATTTATATAGACACAAAAAGCATGGATATTTTGTATCTATCCGACACCGATGATACTGGTTATGTTGAAGATGATAAGCTTCATGAACCGATAGATACCGATAGTACCGATAAGACCGATAATGTCGATTTTGAAGATATTAGACTAAATTATTCAAAAATAAATAAGCATACAGGATCAGACATAATAAAAATTTGCGAAGAAATTGACTTGATTTGTGCAAGTATATATCAGTGTCGGAATATCAACTTTAGATTCACTAACTAGGAAAAACGCGTATTTTGTCGTATCCATCGTAATATTTGAACACAACGCCATCAATTTTATCGTTTCGAATATTCTCAACAATTGCTTTATGCAACATTCGATTATGTCCAATATCAATGCACCATTGTTTGTATCTGGTATATAATATTGTTAATGGGATTTCCAGATAATCTCCTTTACTGACAAAACCATTTTTGAGTAGAGCTTCTCTATCTTTTGTGAAAATCTCTTCTTTGAAATAGTTTGATAAGGATGATTCAACTTTTTTTTTTTTAGCTAATTTAAAACGCAAAACCTCCAATTATTTTATTATCGATTCTATTATCTTTTGGAGTAACCTCGTCAACTCCAGTTCCTCTATAATGTCTGATTCTATTCATGATGGTTATTTATTAAGATAATCAAATTTCTGTATTTAAATCGTAAAAATTTCTGAATAAATCAGGTCGATTGTGTTGTTTACTATAAACGTACAGCATACTCCACAAACCACAAAAATTATCATAGCTCCCTCGAAACTGTTTGTCATTAGATTTCATAGCACCAAGAATTCTCGGTGGTCCAATACTCATCGGATCAAAGTATTCATCGTTGCACATACAAACCCATGTCCAACTCTTGGATTCAATCGCAGTAATATAATGTAGCTTCCGTTACCTAATGGAGCTCGAACATTTCTAAAATCAACAATACCATCGATATGAACATTCAGCTGACTTGCGAGTTCTTGTAGTTCATTAGCGGTCGATTCGCCCAATTTATTTATTTATTTAATTTTAAAATCATTATCTGATGTTTATATAAGGCTAATCATAATAAAGGCACCAACTTACAATTTCAATAATGAGTGATAGCACACAATTAGCAGATTCGTTTTTATATGCCTCGACGACTAGCCCTGATCCGATTATCAGTATCAGCAAAGACAACGTGTTGTTAGCGTTGTTGATGATAACAATGGTTCGTATCAATCAGGAACAGTTATCATTAATGCAACTTCGCAATTAAATGGCGCTACTGGCTATGGAAGTCTTCGAGATTCATATATAGTAGTTCCATACGTAGTAACGGCTAAAACTACTTCTGCAAGTGCCCTTAATGTAGTTTTAAATCGGGATTAAATGCTGGTGTATGGAATATTGTTAATAAATTAGCGGTTGAAATTAACGGCAAAAGTGTCATTACGAGCAATGACTATAAACATTATTGGAACATTTTTTTCTCGGCGCCTATGAGGCATGGGAAGTCGTCGCTTGAGGCTTGGCTTGGGTTCATAACCTATGGCTCGGTAGGCAGGTCGATAGCAAGGAGAGAAGAAGAAGTTTTAAATGGAGACGTCAAAAGATGAAGTGAGCACTTTATTAGTCTTACGCAGCCCCTAGTAGCTGCACACCAGCCATTAGTATTAGTATAGTTTAAGCCAGTCATAGCGGTTTAAACAGGACCTCATAAATCTCATTATAGAGATTAGTTCAAGGTAATCATATTGTTTAGAGGCTACTTCAACAGGTAGTAGTAGAAAGTAGGAAACACTAAGACATGTATGTGCCGAGGCTCCGCCAGCGGCAGATGACAGTGATGGACTTGGTCGGAGGCTGCACTTGCTCTTCAGGAGGCAAGTTCTCGAGTGAGTGCAGCTTCGTGCCAATAGCACCACCGCACCAGCAGTAAGTTGTATTACCACTCAGTATCAATAGTTCAAGTACATCTATACTAACGCTAAGTCTTGATCATGAAGTTGTGCAAGTCCACGCGTCGACTGCACAAGCCAGCACACAACAGGCCGACGCAGTCGTCCATCGAGTAGCTGCAATCTTCACGTGCCATTGTGAAGATCCGCAGGATCTGCACTTACAGCACATTGTATCTCACACCTCACGCGCGACAAGCGTCCTCCGCGCTTATTCTTGACTCATCAACGCATACATTCATCCGGCTAAGCGCTAGTTGCGTGTCAGCGGAGTGCCCTCTTTTCTGTAGAAGGCGCTTCGGGGTGTAGAAACTTCCGAACGTGGCCGCTTTCTCTGCGGCATTTTCTCCAAATAAGGCGCGTGGTCCTCAAGCGACATTTTTGCGGCTGTCGGCGCTTCGTCTTTTGCGTGCTTGAGGGATCGGTGCTCATAGTCGGTTGTCTCGTCGAAGCTCACCTCCTGGTAGGTATGGGTGTTTAGACTGCAATGATGAAAGTAGGTAGCTGAAATCAATGGCATAACTACAAACAGGGTCAGCGAGGGGCCAACAATCGATTTTGCTGCAAGGCGATACTTTTCATTAACGATATTAATGCATCTGCTTTGGTGACTGCTTCTTGAAAGCGTTCCTCTTGTTGATCGCATGTCATGCACCTAGTCGAAGTGTGTAGTGTGTCTAGGTCAATGATGCGGTGAGGACAATATCTTCTCGAGATCGAAATCTTGATAGCGCGACGTATGTAAACGATGCGCTGGGAATAGCGAGCGAGTGGAAAACAGTTTTCTCGCAAGTAAATTCCTCAATTTTGTGAACTGTAATGACGCTTGCCAGACGTAATGGAATGCCTTCACGAAAAACAGTTAAATCACTAGTTTTCTTGCCAACTAACCTTTCTTGGTATTAGCGATTTCCGGTAAGAAAGAATGCCCTCCTTACACGTCTAACATCTGAACTAGTATTATTGTTAGCACTATATATAAAGTCGTATATAATACCATTTGTGCCATTACGAAGCCGGAAGATTGTTCCATATTGACAGTTAGGGTGACCGGAGCTCCGACGGCAATGTCAATGTGTCTTTCTAAAGTCTGTCTCTGTCTGCATTGGCACATTCTGTTTCTTCCAGCAAAGCGTTTATTGAAGCTGGTGACACTTTCCACTGCTGAGCTAGTCGATTCAATTTGACTCTGTGCTTGGCGTGAATAAGAATAATCTTTTGCCGTTCATTTTTTATAGATTATCTAGATTTTGACTATTTGCTTTTGCTACATCTGCGTTAGGGTAGACAATATGCTTTGCTTCAGTAAACCGTCCAGGTATTTCTTTTTCTACACAGTATCTAGAGTTGAATAAGTCAACTTTGGCTTGAGTAGGACATTTGGAGCGAAGCCGTCACAAGGCATCGGGCCATTCGAGGTCTGCCTTGCCTCTTTTTTTTACTAGTGAGTGTGCAAACAATCGGGATGATTTGCCATAATTCGCGACCGCGAAGCTGCGTGTGGCTGTTAATTTCCGAATTAGGAGTCGATAATGCGTAAGGTATCCCGGGATCAAGTTGCGCACGGTCTCCACTAAAGACGATGTCTCGGCCACCAAATACAAGAAGGCTACAGCGAGGCCATATCTCGCGTATTCGCCGGTCTATCCAGTGCCATTTACCGCAGGATATTACACTAAACTCGTCAACAATAACAAGATGAATGCCATTGTATTGCTCCTGAAGCCGTTTTAATGTTTCAGGTCCTCCGTTTTGAGTGTTAAAGATACGTTTGGAGTAGAGCAAGCTTTTCGAGCGAAAGGCGCTAGCTCTAAAGCAGAACAAATCGTTTCCTTTGATGTCAAACGCTGCAGCACCTTAATGGGCTAGCACAAGCACGCGTTTTGACGTTCGTCTGCTAGCGGTATGCTCGGAAAACACGTTGTGTACATTAATAACTACTTTCACCTCACGAAAATGATTGGTATATTTAGTTTTTGTAGGTGGAGATAATGATTTGGTATACTAACACGTCAAAATGCTATTTGTCAGAAGTATCAATTTCGACGAAAGGATCGCCTCCTACAGCTTCAAGCGCAGTCGCAAAAAGACGTTTTGCGCATGCTAGTACTTCTGGAAGCTTGGCTTCACGCCGCAACTTCCGCTTTCCTATGTGCGGTAAAATGTATTCGTTTCCACCTTTGGTCTGTAAAATGCACAACATGACACTCTGCAGAGTCAGAAAAACATCGTTTAGAGTAGTATGTGGCAATGCATCGAAAGCTGACACGACTGCAGCTATCAAATCGTCAACACAGTAAAGTGGGGTGTTAATCTGAATGGTCTAGATCGACGAGAAAAACCCGAGATCGCACATTTAGGTCCGGTGAATTGGGTGGCTGACAGAACATACGAATGTTCCATCCATCGGCAGTCCCAGCTGCCACGATTTCGGAGTCGTGCGGGGAGACGTGGGGCTTGGCGTTATCTTGCTGAATCAGAATGAGCTTGTCTTGCTCTTGTGCGGGCCACTTCCGCTTGATTGTGGGTATGACCTCCTTCAGCAAAAACTCCTTGATGACGTCTCGGTCGATAGACGCGATATTCCTCGTGAAAACTGTCCCTGCTGGGCGGTTAGCGTTGTTTCGTTGAGTGGTATAGTCCTCGACTAGAGGCCAGATCCCAAGCTTGCCATCAAACATGGTTTTACGATGGTAGTCGCATCTGTACAGAGACCATTTTTGTATCTTTCCATATAACAGTTTATCAAATCTCGTAGGTTTTACCTCGGGAAGGCAACTGCTGCCAGAAACATAGTCTTGGGGATGAATCGTTTGCTTCGGCGGTGGCGCTCTGGCAGTTCTTCATCGGGGGGGGGGGGAACCAAGAAGGTACGCTCATCGATGTCCTCGTTAAACCACTTTTCATCTATGTGAACCATACCGTACATATTTTCGAACTGATACGTCTGCTCGTCGATGAACGTGAGAGTGTGCATCATGCGCTGAATTTGTTGTCGTCACTAAGCAGAGGCTTTGTACGTCATGAACGCCGTGCGAGGTGTCCCGCATCAAGCAGCGCACGTATCGGCCACGCAAAGAACCCAATCCGAGCCGCCGTTGCTGCCACACGGTGGCGGTCAAAGATGGGTACTTCCTTGAGCTTTGCCGACAGTTTGGAGCGGTCGTACGGCTTCCACCCTGAGTTTCCTTTGATTCTGCTTTCAGGGGCCCCATCCGCGATTCCTAGTGCTACGTTCTCCCCGTAGCGGCCCCAAATGCGCTTGATACTAAGCCAATGACAGCCGTAATCCTTGGCGATCTCGGTAAATGTGCCATGAGGCACTTTGCCGTCTCTACAATTAAAAAGAAGATCGTTAATGATTGCACGCCTTTGGGCATCGGTTAAATTGCCCTTGGGAATAGTTGAGGTTGTGTAGCGCGCGAAGTTGTAGCTCAGCGGGATATTGAAAACTGAATGCGTCGGAGTAAGCCGCGTAAACCATCTAGCCCTGTCAATTCTGAACGAACGAAAGCAAACCAGACATAATTGGAAAGTTCTAATCGCGTAGTTTCGATTAAACCAATCAACATCCTTTTCTGTTAAGTTTAGCAGGAGTTATCGAACGTTTTGTGCGAATAGACCAATCATTTCGTGTGGAGGAAGTATATGTTTATCAGTCAGCTTTTCCCGCTTCCGCCTTCACCATGTAATATCATATGTATGGGCTCGAAGATAGAACAATTAATGAAGCGCGGAAGCGGGCGCGAGGTTGAGCCATAGCGAATGTAAAAAGGGATCCACTGCGATTCATGCATCGACGCAACCTTATAATTTCAATTGGCGTCTAGGATAGGATATTAGTAGTGGCTGCTCGGTGTCTCTGTACTGTTCCCGAATTTGCAACATTGACGTGCATATTGCTACATTTGAAGCCGCGGCTTAACGTGTGTGCAAACAAATCTGTTTGCTCTATCAACGTCTTCATAGTACACTCTCGCTTTCTTGGCCACCGAACGCTTGCTAGCTTAGCTGTGACCCCAGCATCAGTTTCATTATGAGCATTTTTATCTGACGCCACGAGTTGATTCTCATCAAATTCTTGTTCTGGACTTATAAAAGACGTATTTTGAAGGTGGCAATGTCGTACAGACTTTAGTATCAATAGATTGTTTTAAAGCATTGAGGCCTCTTTGGCGATTATGTTTAAGATTGGACTCCTTTTGAAGCTCGCTTTCAAGAGCACTTTGCTGTTCTCGTTCGAACATTGCGACCCACTCGTCATCAGTCTGTTGTAGGTCAGTTAGCGAACGCCACGGTTTATGGAGAAATAGCTCAGCAAAACAAAAGTTTGCATTGTTGGATGGGGTGCAAACCAAGGTGTCGCTCTGATTACAGTCGATTTATTGCGAACCTTTATATAGCCGTTACTGTATCTCATTTCCAATGATCGTTTTCCGTTTTCGTAGCGGAGACGCTGTCTAACAACGCGAGTTTTCCTGCGGAAGACGTCCATTCGCTTCAGCTTGCAATCGTAGGCTTTGAAGTGGGGTGGCATGAACCCATCGATGAGTGTAAGGCGAGTTCCGCGATTTTTTGCAAGGCACTCTACTGCCAACGCGCACATAATAATTAAGAAGTACACTGTCTTCGCCGGCATCTTGGCCCTGGCAAAATTGCGCGTCTCCTTCACGAAAACGAATATGTCCGTTTCTTCCTCTGTCACTTGCTGACGAATCCCTCTGCGACTTCGGCCAACAGTTCCCCATTGTGAATTCTTTATTAAGCAAGGAAAATAAACAAAATAAAACACGCCAACGTTCATTATACATTCTTATCATTTATTTATTCGTTAATACAATTTCCTGTACGGTTCCATGGCTGTGTAAGCTTTGTTGAAGGCAAGTGTAACGGAGGTTGCCTGTGGAACCAGCATTAGCTAGGATCGTAGGCTAAACTGCCTTGTCACAACTCTGTCTAATCCTTTTTTTTTTGCTGCGTCACATTGAAGCATGTCCCCCAGACGTGAGGCACCCAAGCACATGGATTTTCCACACACTCGCGCGGAGCCAAAGCCGTCTCAGCAGCGAGTCGTCCGCACCATGCCACAACTCGACGCCAATGCGCTAAACAGTCGCCGTCCACTGCTTCTGCGTGGAGCGCACTACCATGGCCAACACTGCTCCACATCACTACGCTACATCACCGCCACCCGTTGCCTATCGATATAGCACCCACCGCAGCCAATGCAGACATTGCAACGTGGCACCTTTCTCGTAATACGCCGTTCCACGTAGAGCACCCCACGAAAGCAAATACTGGTACTGCCGCGTGGCTCCTTAGTCGTGCACTGCACCACTTCGCTTTCTTGCTGTGAATGTTCTAGTCTGACTTTTTACCAACTGCCGTTCTTACGAGCTCCATAAGAGATGACAGGTATTGTTCCTTTATTAGAGGCTCTAAGGATATCAAAAATGCACATAAAAAGTTGCGTTTTGAGCCTTTTCCTAGTTCTTCCATACAAAGCGATCATTTCCCACTTCATAAAAAACATAGATTTTAGTGCATTTCAGATAAACAATTTCATATCAAATGAAAGCTTCAGTGCGGCTGCTAATTGATGCACCTAATACCACCTTCAAATAACGGTCAAAATGCCGCTAAACAGAAGTTTTTCGCAAGTTTTTGCCCCAGCGGGTGCTATTATAAACTCACACCCTAATCCATTTCGAAAAATGATACCGACCCTTCGTAAGTACTAAATCAAAAGAGCAAATATGAGTCGTAATAAGAGCTAAATCAGAGAGCTCATTTGAGGAAGGGGACTGTGTCTCAACACGTATAGCAATGTGACGATTACTTATCTAGAAATCGCATACAAACTTATGCGACCTCTACAGTACCCCTCCGGAGTGCATAGATACAAAAATACAAACGATGGGTATTGTAGTGAGAGGCAGCTAACTATGAAAATATCCAATTATATATTGTACGCGCAAAGATCGGATTACTTTTTCTTCAAAGCTGGTATGGGAACGGAAACCATAGGTTAGACCACGATTTTCTTAAAGCTGATTACTGGCGCTTTCTTTCCGTATAGTGCTTCTTGTGCTAAAGAGTGCTCATCTTATATATTCTGTCCAATCACAACATTTAGCCGATTTGGTTCTCTACTGTGAACTAGGCTGATTTTATCTGTCGGATATAAGAGTTGCCGGACGGAAGAAGCATTATACGAAACGTTCAGATCTTCGAAAAAAGACCTTGAAAGATCACAATAAGATTATGGTTTTCCTTTAAAAAAAAAAAACTTCATGAGCCGTTACACGATGCCGCTGCTTTAATCATCACAGCGACTCCCCGAGAGCTAGAGGCCAATTTGGCAACCGCCAAGGCAGCGATGGATGGTAGAGATGATGGCGAAAGTCGCGATGGAGCTAAGCGGCGTGGCGTATCGATTGGACCCCAAGCGAACCAGATCCTGCAGCGTTTGTACGAGCCAAATCTAGGACCTGGATCCCCTGCCGATGACCGAAATCCCTTGTCACCTGTAAAGCGATCTGCTCCGACGCGAAACGCAGTTCTAAAACCTAAATTCCAGACTCGAATGAAAAAGAACGCGAGCGTAGCGACGATCCTTAACAGCGTGCCAGCACGAACACGAGCTGGAGTACCCACACCCATCTCATCAGGTATCACTCCTCTATCAACCTCTGCAAGTATGATGAGTTTGCCGCCTGGAGTGATACACCCAAGCCTCCATAAGGCATCTGAGAGAATCAGAACCCTTCAGGATAAAACTCACATTTCTAGTACAATAACCCGGTCATCAACACTAGCAGAAGAGAGAAACCAGAGTGGAGGAGAGTCTGGCTCGTATGCTTGTCTCTCGCCTGCTTCAAAAGCTGCTCAACGCAAGAGTCTCGCAACCGAGTCGTCGTTTACTGCGTCGCTAAATCTGGATCCCAGATATCTGAAAGAATTCAAATCTGGCAACTTTTTGTATCTTCGTAAAAAGAAAAACACAGATCTGGTCATGTACGCACTCGAAGTTGTAGAGCATTTCGAAGTGGATCGTTCGGACTACTACACGATGAGTTTAGAAGGTGTGACGCACTTTACTACGGAACATTCCGAATTCTGGACTTTGGACAAATGGGAGACGGAATACTCGAGATTCATGAAGATGCTGGCTATTCCGTTCTTCCAGAAGTATAAAATGTGGAAGAACTTTAACATGTGGAAGACCTCAGTGCGTACATTCAAGATGCGCAACGCCAAAAAGGCTCTAAACGAGCGGCTTTTCCTGTTAGCCCCCAGTCTTCAGTCGACATTACTGGGTCTGCGTTCTCTTTGTTTGGATGTCACTAAACTTGAATTGATCCATTTCAGTAATCGCCAGACGTATTCCTTGCGCGATTTCGAGTTGGAACAGCAGAAGACGCGCACTCAAGTTACTCAACAACTCGCGAGTTTCTCTGCAAAGTCGTTGCAAATGTGCGTCAAGGCCTGTGACGACGTTATCGACAGCTTTTTAGTGGCCAACAAAATATCCGCGGACCACAAAATGACCTTCATGGAACGAGCTGCGTTGCGCAAACAATGCCGCACACTCACGAGTTTTTTGCGCCTAGCAGATTTTCTAACCATCGACGCAACTATCCAACTCACCATTCGCTCCTTCCAGCAACTTTACGGGATTCTCGCAGCTGGGAAAGCGCAACTTACTGGAACTGCTACGTCTGTACCAGAAACTAAGCAACCGACTGGAAATATCCAAGCAAACAGTAAAAATCCAGGAAAATCTGGCCAAACGAATACCTCGCCATTCACCGCTATCTTCGCCGTAGCAGTAGAGATGGATCCTGTTACTTCTGCTTTGAATGCCACTCCAAACCACGACGCATGGAACGGAGCGCTCCAACGAGCACTGAAAGAAGCTTTACGTATGGTGGAGACTCCGGCGCGACATCTCGGCCACGAATCTCTGGCTCCGTACACTACAGCGAGTGCTGAAGACGAAGGCAAAGACGTCTGGTCGGTTGAGCAACTTAACGTGGCGTTGATATTGAATGAAGATGCCAAGTTCAGTATACTTACAAACGATATTTTCGTGGCTTTGGATGAAGCATTCGAAGCTGTAGAGGATTATATGGACGTGTTCACTCCGTTCCACCAGATTTATTCGGAAAATGAAGGCCAAGTGACGCATCTGATGGAAACTTATGCAGACGCACCTTTGGATTTTTTCTCAGAATCTGTAGAGAAGTACAGATCCCAAGGTCAGTCGTTCACTGAAATCCCTGACGCTGCGACGGTTGGGATTTTTCGAGTCGATTCTTCCGAGTTTAAAAGTCGACTGCTGCCGAATCCAGAGAAATGTATCCTCGGAATCCGTGCTTTAATCCCGAAACTTATGAAGAAAACCAGCGCGGAATTACTCGAGACTCTCAACGATTTATCCCCCGTGGCTTTTTCCACGCCGTCTACACCTGACGCATTTGTGAATAAAGTGGTGCATATGACCAAAGTTGGTACCATGCTTCCAGATTTAAGAAACCGATACCGTCGAGTCTATGAGATGGGAGTTCTGATGGATAATTACGATTGGCGAGTCCCGGATGATATTAAAGAGGATATTATCCTCATGAAGGAAGGTGTATTAAGTCTAGAGGGGACGGTGACTAGATTTGAAGGGGAGATCGACTCAGAAACAGCGCGCTTCTCACAGATTATTCTGGATAGTATCGCGCCGTTGAATCGGAATGCTCAAATGTTGCTTGAAAAGCTGGATCATCCCAAGCTGTCGACGATTAAAACGCCAATGAATGAGGCGCTTTCGTTCCTTGGAGCGCAAGAAGATTCGCTCAATCAACTCGTCGAAGAATCTAAAATGCTCGCCATGTTTCAAACACAATTGAAACAAACAGTGAGCGAATTTAACGAAATCAACGAAGTAGCAGCGCATTTCGAGTTGAAAATGAAGCTTTGGAGTGGTCTGGATGCGTGGCAGAAGCTCGCAGTCTCATACTCGGACACCATCTTCGACGACATCGACGTAGCTGCCATTAGTAAACAAGTGCAGATGTACGTAAAAGTGGCGTACCAAGCACAGAAGCAGCTCCCGGGGAACGAAGCTGCTGATTTACTGCAACGAGAAGTGGAGAAATTTAAGCTTGTACTCCCCGTTGTGACGGATTTACGCTCCCCATCGTTAAAAGACCGACACTGGAAGCAAATCCACGATGCTTTAGGGTTCCAGATGAAAGGAGAGAGCAGCATGACGTTGGGTGGATTAATTGAAAGAAACGTGATGAAACACGGCGAAACTATCAGCGCTGCGGCTGTGTCTGCTCAACAAGAAGCTGTGCTCGAAGAAATGCTGAAAAAGGTGACGGATGCTTGGGCTACGACCGAGTTTGAGGTCAAACCGTACAAAGAATCCAAGGATGTTTTCGTCCTGGGGAGTGTCGAGGAAGTCACTGCCAAACTGGATGATTCGATCGTGACAATTAGTACAATTATGGGTTCTAGATTTATCGGTGCCATTCAAGAAGAAGTGGAAGGCTGGAGGAAGAAGCTCGTGACGCTGCAGGAAACGTTGGACGAGTGGCTGTTGGTACAGAAGAATTGGATGTATCTGGAGAATATCTTCTCGGCGCCGGATATTCAGCGTCAATTACCGGATGCATCCAAGATTTTCAGTCACGTGGATGCGTCCTGGAAGACAATAATGCGTCGTACGAATGAGAATCCGCACGTGTTAACGTCGGGAACATTTCCAGGTATCAAGGAGACGTTGCTGCAGCACAACGTGCATCTGGATAAAATCCAGAAAAATCTGGAGGATTATCTCGAGACGAAACGGATGGCATTTCCTAGATTTTACTTTTTATCCAACGATGAATTACTGGAAATCCTCGCACAGTCGAAAAATCCACAAGCAGTGCAGCCGCATCTTCGCAAATGTTTTGAAAATCTGGTCAAATTAGACTTTGGAGATATTCCTGGTAGTGTGGATATGATCGCCATGTACTCGTCCGAGAACGAGCGAGTTCCGCTTGGTAAAAATCTAAAAGCACGAGGAAACGTCGAAGACTGGTTAAAAGCCCTGGAAGTGAGTATGAAACAGTCAATCTACAAGTTAATGAAGGCTGGATTACTCGACTACGACACTAAACAGCGCTCCGTATGGGTCTGTGACCATCCTGGTCAAGTCGTGGCTACTGTGGCTCAGATGACCTGGGCAAGAAGCACCGAAGAAGCGCTTAACAGCAGTAATCCAGTCGAAGAAATGCACGCTTGGTACAAGCGCAATTTGTACGAATTGAACGAGCTTATCGTGAAAATCCGTGGAGACCTCAGCTCTTTAGAACGTAAGGTTATCGTGGCTTTGGTGACTACAGATGTACATGCCCGAGATATCGTGGAGAGTCTGTGGACCGAGAAAGTGGATTCTGTCGGGAATTTTATCTGGCAGCAGCAGCTTCGTTACTATTGGGATGTGCAGGCCGATGACGTCCTTATTCGGCACTCGGATTCTGTTATCCAGTATGGATACGAGTACATGGGTGCTACGTCACGCTTAGTGATCACACCGCTTACTGATCGTTGCTGGATGACGCTAACAGGAGCCTACGGGATGAAACTTGGCGCAGCTCCTGCAGGTCCTGCAGGAACCGGCAAAACCGAGAGTAGTAAAGATCTGGCAAAAGCGATGGCTATCCAGTGTGTTGTGTTTAACTGTAGTGACCAGATCGACTATAAAATGATGGGTAAACTGTTCCGAGGCCTCGCTCAGGCCGGAAACTGGACGTGTTTGGATGAGTTCAACCGTATCGACATCGAAGTTTTATCCGTGGTGGCTCAGCAGCTGCTTATCCTGCGTGAAGGACGCATTCAGGGTAAAGAGCACATTAACTTTATGGGGATAGAAATCTTACTTAAAGACCACCACGTTATCGTGACTATGAATCCTGGATATGCTGGTCGTACGGAACTTCCGGATAATCTTAAGGTGTGTTTCCGACCGGTGTCTATGATGGTGCCGGATTACGCGCTTATCGCGGAGATTATGCTGTTTGCTGAGGGATTCGGTGACGCACGTACACTGTCTCGTAAGATGTGTAAGCTGTATATCCTCTGCAGTGAGCAGCTCTCACAGCAACCACACTACGACTACGGTCTTCGCGCTGTAAAATCCGTGCTGGTTATGGCTGGTTCGCTGAAACGTGCAAATCCGGATTTGAACGAAGACGTCACGTTAATTCGCGCTCTAAGAGACAGCAACATCCCCAAGTTTTTAGCCGATGATTTACCACTGTTCCACGCTATTGTACTCGATTTATTCCCTGGTACAGACATCCCTCCCAACGACTACGGAGAGTTGCAAGCTTCGCTGGAGGAAGAAATCACTAAAGCAGGGTTACAAAAAGTGCCTACGTATATTACAAAAGTCATTCAACTCTTCGATATTTTCAACGTTCGCTTCGGAGGAACGCTGGTTGGACCCACCGGAGCTGGTAAAACCTCGTGTTATCGTACACTTCAGTCCACTATGACGTCGCTGCGTACCAAAGGGTCAAAGAATCCGGTATACCAGACTGTACACGCTCGTGTTTTAAACCCGAAGTGTATTTCCATGGGCGAATTATACGGTGAATTCAACGAAGCCACCCAGGAATGGCACGATGGCTTAGCCTCTACGATCATGCGGGAAGCTGTAGCAGACGAAACTTCGGACGTGAAATGGACGGTATTCGACGGACCTATTGACGCTCTGTGGATCGAAAACATGAACACAGTGCTAGATGATAACATGACGTTGTGTCTTGCCAATGGTGAGCGGATTAAGCTCAAAAGTGAGATGAAAATGCTGTTCGAAGTTATGGATCTAGCAGTGGCTTCACCTGCGACTGTGAGTCGAATTGGTGTGGTCTACATGACAGCTACAGATCTAGGCTGGATGCCGTTCGTCAAGACGTGGATGGAGAAGGAACTACCAACGGATTTCCCACCTGACGGACTTAAAAGACTGGATTTCCTCATCACAAGTTACGTGGAAAAATGCATCCAATTCGTCCGTAGAAAAAGCTTTGAACTGGTCCCGACAGTGGATATGAACCTCGCAACTAGTCTGTGTCGCTTGTTTGCGTGTTTGTTCAGCTCTGCCAATGGAGTGAATTACTTAACGATGAAGAACGAAGAGATGCTGGAACTGTTGGATAAAGTATTCGCTTTTTCTCTCTTCTGGTCTGTAGGTGCGACTATGACGGTGGATACGCACGAGCAGTTCGATAACTTCGCACGAGAATTAATGACCGATGCTAAGCTGAATATCCCCAATGCTGGACTGGTTTTTGACTATTTCGTTGATGTTGAGCAAGCCAAATTCCGCGCTTGGAGTGAAGTTGTCCCAAAATTTGTGTACAATAACCAAATTCCTTACTTCAAAATGACAGTCGCGACGCCTGATTCCGTTCGATTTACCTTCTTATTACGCACTTTAACCGCAGCAAAGCGACCAGCATACGTCACCGGAGTCACAGGAACGGGTAAGACTGTGATTGTCCAGGATTTACTGCAAGAATTAACGTCTGGGCCTATGATTCCAACTGGAGATAATGGTGAAAATGGTGAGAATTCATCGGCTCCAGCGTCAAATTTCATGACAATTTTCATCAATTTCTCGGCGCAAACATCGTCTCTAGTCACACAATTGACGATTGAGAATAAACTCGAGAAGAAACGTAAAAATCTACTGGGGCCAGTAGCTGGAAAAAGAATGATTATCTTTGTAGACGACGTGAACCTCCCAGCTGTTGAGGAATATGGCGCTCAAGCTCCTATCGAATTATTGCGTCAATTTCTGGATTTTGGTGGATTTTACGACCGCGATAAATTATTCTGGAAAGATATGGCAGATACAATGTTACTTGCAGCTGCTGCTCCCGCTGGAGGAGGCCGATCGCACTGTACACCTCGCTTTGTTCGACACTTCCACGTCTTGAGTATGTACCCAGCAGGTGAGACGTCTTTGAAACTCATTTTTGCATCAATTCTCGGAGGTTTTCTGGAAAAATTCGCGCCATCCGTGAAAGCCATGAAGGACGGGATAATATCCAGTGTCATTGAAATTTATAACCGCGTTACACTTGAGTTATTACCCACGCCGAATAAATTTCACTACACTTTCAATCTTCGCGATGTTTCGAAAGTTTTCCAGGGGATTCTCATGATCACGCCGTCGAAATGTCCAGATGCAGACTCGATGAACCGTTTGTGGGTCCACGAGGCTTCACGAGTGTTCCAAGACCGTCTAATTAACGCCAGTGACCAAACGTGGTTCGAAGAGCTCGTATGTTCGTTATTACAGCGTTTTTTCAATTGTAACTGGTCACGAGAGGCGCTTTTCCACTCTCCATGTCCTCTGACATTCGGCGATTTCTTCAAACCAGGAACGCCCACGCCCTTGTACGAATACTGCAACGACGTGACCAAAGTTACGAAGATCATGGACGATTTTTTGGAAAATTACAACGTTACTTTCGCGAATAAAATGAACCTCGTATTTTTCCGAGACGCCATCGGTCATTTATCCAGATTGGTGCGTATTTTACGACAACCTCGAGGCAATGCGATGCTGATAGGAGTCGGTGGAAGTGGGAAACAATCTCTCGCTCGGCTTGGGGCTTTCATGGTGGAAGCCAAGTGCGTACAGATCGAAATTACACGAGGATATGGCACCAATGAGTTCCACGAAGACCTTAAAAAACTCATGATAAGTGCCGGTGTAGGGGGTCAGTCCACAGTGTTTTTATTCACTGACAGCCAGATCGTCGAAGAAAGTTTCTTAGAAGACATCAACAATGTTTTAAATAGTGGAGAAGTGCCCAATCTGTTCCCACAAGACGAAATGGACCGCATTATTGCTGACATGCGGCCTATTGTGAAGGCCATGGAGATCCCCGAGACTCGAGACAATTGCGTGTCCACATTTATTGAAAGAGTACGCAATTATTTGCACATTGTATTGGCCATGTCACCCGTGGGTTCAGCACTTCGTGTACGCTGTCGAGCGTTCCCGTCGCTCATAAATTGTTGTACGATCGATTGGTACATGAATTGGCCCCGTGAGGCCTTGCAGTCAGTGGCCGATCGACTACTAGCTAGTGTGTCGTTACCCTCGGAAGACGTGCGTACAGCTCTTGTCGACATGTGCTCCATCGTACACACCACATCGAACGATTTCGGCGAGGATTTTTTGTCTCAACTGCAACGATACGTGTACACTACACCGAAAAGTTACCTCGATCTCATCGGGTTGTATTTGAAAATGTTACAGGAGAAGCGTGCAGTGTTACAGACGATCAAAAACCGCATGGAAGTCGGTGTAAAAAAGCTCGAGGAGACCAACAGTATCGTGGATTCGCTTAAGTCCGAGTTGATCGAGTTGCAGCCAATTCTCGCTAAAAAAGCGGTCGAAGCTGAGGAATTACTTAAACGAGTGTCAGTGGATCAGAAAGCAGCCGCAGTTGTACGTGAACGAGTTTCGCAGGACGAAGCTACAGTCACAAAACAGGCCGAAGAAGTGGCAATCGTGCAAGCCGATGCTCAAAAAGATCTGGACGTGGCTATGCCGGCTCTAAATAACGCTATTAAGGCGCTAGATAGTTTATCCAAGAACGATATTACTGAGGTAAAATCCTTCGCGAAGCCTCCAGAGGCTGTGGAGACAGTTATGAACGCCGTGTGTCTGCTGTTTAACGAGAAGCAGAGTTGGGATTCCGCTAAGAAAATTTTGGGCGATGTGGCGTTTCTAGATAAGCTCAAGAACTTTGACAAGGATAATATCCCCGCTGCTACGTTAAAGAAACTCAGTAAAGCGGTCTCTGAACCGGGTATGGCTGTAGAAGTGGTCTCGAAAGTATCTAAAGCTGCCACGTCACTCTGTATGTGGGTACATGCTATGGACGTGTACTCTAAAGTGGCGAAAGAAGTCGGTCCTAAAAAGGAAAATTTAGAACGGATGAACCAGAAATTGGCCGAGGCTAACGCGATTTTGAGTCAAAAACAAGAAGAACTGCGCGTTGTCAACGAGAACGTGGCGATGCTGGAAAAGCAGTGTAAAGACACTTTAGACGAGAAGGACAAGCTCGCGAATGACGCTGCAGTGACCGAGAAGCGACTCGTTCGAGCCGAGAAGCTCATATCTGGATTGTCAGTTGAAGGAGCTCGTTGGAAAGAAAGTGTAGCGTCCTTATCTGAATCGATATTAGCGTTGATTGGTGATACTTTCCTAGCTGCAGCCTGTATTTCGTACTATGGACCGTTTACCGGAGGATTCAGACAGCGAATTGTGGACCAGTGGGTCACTCAGACGCAGGAGCTTCATATCCCGTGTTCGTCTGGTTACAGTCTTTCAATTACACTAGGGAGTCCAGTGGAGATCCGTGAGTGGCAACTCAATGGCCTCCCTACAGACTCTACGTCCACTGATAACGCTATTCTAGTGACTCGAGGCGAGCGGTGGCCACTGATGATCGATCCACAGGGTCAAGCGAACAAGTGGATTAAGAAAACTTTAACTCAAAATCTGGAAACTACTAAAATGACTAACGCAAATCTGTTGCGGTCCTTGGAGACTTGTATCCGGAATGGTAAGGCGTTGTTGATCGAAGACATTGACGAGACGTTGGAGCCGTCGCTGGAGCCGATTCTGCAGAAAGCCATCTACAAACAAGGTGGACGAGTGTTGATCCGTCTGGGAGATTCAGATGTGGATTATGATCCAAATTTTAAACTGTTTCTAACCACCAAACTGCCAAATCCTCACTATCTTCCCGAGGTGTATATCAAAGTGACAGTCATCAACTTTACAGTCACGATGGACGGTCTAGAAGACCAACTTTTAGGCGACGTAGTGCGTCATGAACGTCCAGATATCGAAGAGAAGAAGAACCGTCTAGTTGTGACCATGGCGCAGGATAAGAAACAGCTTAAGGAGATCGAAGACCGTATCCTGAAACAACTGTCCGAGTCTTCAGGAAACGTTCTAGATGATCAAGATCTCATTGACACGCTGCAATCATCCAACGTCACATCTCGTATCATTAAGGAACGCGTTCTAGAATCTGAAAGCACAGAAATTGAGATCAACCGCGCAAGAGAAGAATACCGTTGTGTAGCTACACGAGGGTCCATTATCTACTTCGTGGTCGCTAATCTAGCGCTGATCGACCCCATGTACCAGTATTCACTGCCGTTCTTCCAGCGTTTATTCAACATCTGCTTCGATGAGGCTCCGAAAGCTGATACCCTGCAGAAACGTCTTACAAACCTCGTTGACTTCCAGACTAGATACATCTATGTGAATATCTGTCGTGGGCTCTTCGAAGTGCACAAAGTGCTCTTCTCGATGCTTATCTGCTGTAAAATACTGCTACATTCCGGTAAAATATCGGCTCGTGAGTGGAGTTTGTACCTCCGTGGAGCACCACCAGGTACTGATCGCTCCTTGCAGCAGCCAAATCCTCAGCCTACACACATCAGTGAGGCCCAATGGGACTTAATATCTGAGCTCGAGACGCTTGTAACTGGTTACACTGAAGACGCAGAAGGCCAGAAGACACAAGTCCAGGCCTTTCAAGGACTCTGTACTTCATTGACAAATGTCTGGTCACGTTGGTTAATCTGGCTCGACGATCCAGAATTTCTGTCCAATCCTAATTCCTGTCCTGGAAACTTCGGCTCAACGTTAAACGCGTTCCAAAAAGTGCTTTTACTTCGAGGTTTAGCTGAGGAAAAAGTACCTCAAGCTGTTTTGAACATGATTTCAACCGAGATGGGCACTGAATTTGGACGAAATGCATCTACGACAATGGAGGAAATCTACAACGATACAGATCGTAAAACTCCATGTATCTTCGTGCTATCAGCAGGTGCTGATCCGACTGGAATGTTGCTGCGATTCGCAAAGGAAATGTCGTTTATTGACCGTCTACATCTCATTTCTTTAGGCCAAGGACAAGGTCCTAGAGCTGAGAAACTCATAGAGAGCAGCCAAGGCTCCGGTGACTGGGTATTGCTGCAAAATTGTCATCTTGCCAAGTCTTGGATGCCGAAACTTGAGAAACTGGTGGAAGATATGGGTCAGCGTACAGATGAGCAGTGTCAATCCACGTTTCGCCTCTTCCTTACTAGTTTTCCAGCTGCTTATTTCCCTGTTACAGTGTTACAAAACGGTATCAAACTCACGAACGAACCACCCAAGGGGATCCGTGCTAATCTACTCCGATCTTTCAATACTTTGCTATCGGAAGAAGTGCTCGAGAGCTTCCACTTTCTCGGTAATTTTGACACTGGAGAGGCCAAAAATCACGTGTGGAAGTCGCTGCTTTGTGCGCTTACGTTCTTCCACGCCATCGTCCAAGAACGACGCAAATTTGGAGCTCTGGGCTGGAATATCAAGTACGAATTTAACGATACCGACTTGGAGACTTCGTTAGCGAGTCTACGGAAGTTCTTGGAGGAACAACCGATCATTCCCTGGGACGCCTTGCGGTATGTTACCGGCCAGATCAACTACGGTGGACGCGTGACGGACGACTGGGATCGACGCTGTCTTACCAGTATACTCAGTAACTTTTACACACCAGAAGTGCTTAATTCCGGCCACTCGTACTCGACTTCTGGCAGTTATCACGTGCCCAAAGAGCTCTCGCACTCGAGTATTCAATCGTACTTAAGCTCCTTACCAGCTTTCGACAACCCGGAGCTCTTTGGGATGCACGAGAACGCCAACGTCACGTACGAGCGCAACGAAAGCGCCAACATGATGCAATTAATCTTAAGTCTTGAGCCACGAGACGGAGGAGGCGGTGGAGGCAAATCTAACGACCAACGAGTGCTTGATCTCGCCATCTCTATACAAGAACACTTACCTGCTGATCTCAACGTGGAAGAAGCTGGACCTACCACCTTTAAAACTCGAGAAGTGGCTGGAACTGTCGTGATGGACTCGTTAGCCACCGTTTTGAGTCAAGAAGTCATCAAGTTTAACACTCTTTTACGACGTATGCGCTCGTCTTTGAGAGATATCCAGAAGGCTATCAACGGACTCATCGTCATGTCCTCAGACCTGGATAACATGTACATGGCCTTTTTAAACGGCAAGGTGCCGCAACTCTGGTCTTCCGTCAGTTTTGCTTCTTTAAAGCCTCTCGCATCCTGGGTACGCGACTTACTCGACCGCGTCTCGTTCTTCCGACAATGGCTACTTCATGGTGAGCCAGTGGTGTTCCAACTCAACGTCTTCTTCTTCCCACAAGGATTCATGACTGGTACATTGCAAAATTTCGCTCGAAAGTATCAGACCGCGATCGATTCACTGGCGTTTACATTTACCGTCATGGACGTTGAAAATGCCGGGCAACTTACACAAAGTCCAACTGATGGCATTTACGTTGACGGACTCTGGCTACAAGGCGCTAAATGGTCTCCAACGCGTCGACTACTTGAAGACGCCAAGCCTGGAGAAATGTTCTCTGCCATGTCGATTGTTCATTTCCTCCCTGCTACTTCAGCAGTGGCCAGTAACCCTGTACTGAGTCCGGGGATCATGATGTACCCGTGTCCAGTGTACAAGACGTCGGTGCGGCAAGGAACGTTGTCGACCACTGGAATCTCCACCAACTACGTCATTGCAGTGCAGCTTCCAAGTGATAGACCCCCCAACTACTGGGTCATGATGGGTGCGGCGTTCTTGCTTAACCTGGATAATTAACCAGTTTGACAGGATAAAATACAGGTTAAGTAAAAAAAAAGTTTGCATTACGTCTCGCTTCTTGTCGTTAACCTGAGTCCAAACTTTGCCCGGACGCCCTGAACAAGGGCTCCTTATCCTGCATCCTCGCGACTTATCCTGCATTTTACCTGTGATACACTACTACTTGGTCCTCTCTCCAAAAAAAAACAAGGCTCCTTTGCGGCGATAAAAGTCCGTGCATTGCTCTAATACGAGTCCATGGAGATGGTGGACGCTCGGGAAGACGCAGGCATGAACATGCTGTCGCGCATACTGGGGGTCAGAGTCGAGATGCTCTCTCGCGAGCCAACACTGTACGATCGGTCCGCGCGCTTGCTCTTGCGCTTGTACACGCACGTGTCCTTATCTATCCGGATACCCCACTGGAACTCGTCGGCCTTGGTCACCACGTCCAAGAACTCGTTGAGTTTGGCAATGCGGTCGATGATCAACTGGTCCGAGAAAAAGCCCGTGAGGCTCTGGGTCTGCAGCTCTGGGATCTCGTGCTCGCTGTTCGGGTTCTTGGCTTTCAGCGTGGCCGCCAAGTTCCTGCATTTGCGGTGGCAGAGTCGTATTAGTGACAAAAAAAATAATGTATCGTCAAGCATACGCTTTCTGACAATGATATATCGACCACTTACAAGAACGTGCTGTATCGATGCCACAGCACCAGCGTGCCTCGGATGTCTGTCTCAATCTGCAGCTTGTACTCGACGTACTGTCGGCCTTGTTTGGTCTTAATACGGCTGAATCGAATTGAACATACGTAAATCGTCAATCATGGAGAATTGTCCTCCCAAAACGTACACGTGTCGTACCTGTCCACGACCTTGGCCGAGAGCAGCGAAATCTCACGCATCTGATCGATCTTGGTCTGGTACGAGTCCAGTGTCTGTCGCAGTTGCACGTGCTCGCGACGCAGGTCCACGCTGGCGTTCTGCAGGGCCATATTGAGGATGGAGGCACGCAACTTCTCGTTCTCCTCCTCGAGCTGACGCTTCTTGGACGCCGCCTCGGCCAGTTGGGCCTCATACTGACGCGCGGCCTCCTCCGCCTTGGCCACCTTGTCGGCGGCGTCCGACAACACACGCTCCGTCCGCTTCGTCGGTGTGCCCATTTCTGTATGTTACTGTGGAAAGAATGGAGGTCGATTTTGCCACGCCACGTACGCAAGAGAGTGAGAAACTATTTTCCCGCGATAAAAACTATCGAGAAAAGGGGGAGTTCATTTCACTTACCGAGTAGTTGTGCCTAACGCGACAGGGGGCGAGGGCGTTTATCTATTAGCGGCAGGGCGAGACTCTCGCTGCTGGCGCCGCCGATTGAGAAAACTGGTTTCTGCTTCTCGTTTGGTTGGAGATTATCCCGTCCTTCTGACACCGAACGACTCGGCGACGGCGCAAATGCACGGGAGGCTTTGGACGTTCAGTTTCGCCCCACGCTATTGGTCGAATGAAGTCTGCCCACTATGGGGGCAAAGAAAGGTCCGAATTCAGCTAATTTGCGACGATTTGCACTAAAAGCAAGCCAGCGATCGTAAAAGAACGCGCGGCAGAGGCCCCCCAACATGCGGGGATACTTAACCGCCGCGACCCCATTGCATTCGTAAATGTAATGCGAACAATGAATGACACGTAGAATGTGGCGATGGCTAAGAGTCTCCATTGTATTGGGTCCTCCTAATTAGAAGGCAGACCAAGATGCTGTGCATCGTTCGATGGCGCTTTAACGGCGTCGTTGCGTTGTGACAAGAGGAGTGGGAGCGCCACGTCAGTGCTTGCCGAGCACTGCTTGGTTTGACCAGACTTGTGCCTGCCCATAGGTACAGTGATGGAAATGGAAGGCTGTATTGGCGGTCTCCGTTGTTTGGGCTCCGTTATTCGGAATGACTTCAACAGTCGACGTATTATATTAGACCGGTGCTGCAGGCAAGTGGCCTGTTCTGCACAACCGCCCTCTCTGATGAAGAGGCAGTGGCATGATCCTTGCTGCCTACCGTACCCGTATATGGATGGAGGCAAAACTTGGGCGGGTGTGATATGCCTTCAAGTGTCCGACGCAAACGTATTTTGAAAATCGGTAGCTGGGGCATCTGGCGGCGAAAGAAGAGGGGTTTGCCCCCAATCGCATGATAACCACTTGTGGCTCAACTTGCTATAATATGCGCGTGCCTCCTCACCGAATGTCCTGTAGACTCTACAGAAGAGTTCATCGATTGCACTCGACCTTTTACGTCTCGTCAATGCTTTGACGGTGCGCGCTGAACATGATGTTCAGCCGACGTTTCCAGTGCGCCAAAAGGCTGCTCTTCCATCCGATTAAGCTTAAAGTAGAGGCTTCCAAAGGACAACGAGTAGCGCTGCCACTGGTCAATGAGAGCGTCAACCCCACATAGTTCACCAAACGCAACGTCCGGGGCCATGACTGCCCTCAGAAAATACTCCTGATCATGGAGGGAGACGCCTCATTAGACTCTGCCGTGCATCTAGACATCAGAAAGCCGTAGCGGAGCAGCCGAAAGTACTCGATTACAACGTTCCAGACGTTGTTCTTGGTCTGGATACCATAGCACAAAGTGCAAGTAGGCCTTGGCATTTGGTAAATGAAGAGCGCCGTCATAATAAAAACGAAT